TTTTTTTTTTTTTTTTTTTTTGGTACCGGAGATCTAATTTGGGCCCTTGTGCTTGCAAGACAGGCGGGCGGAACCACTGAGCTAAATCCCCGAGGAATCTATTCTTATAGACCCATCTCAGAGAGACATGCTCCCATGGAACATGATGGCTCTGTGCTGAGGCAGTTCCTACATCAGCCTAATGACTTTTCTTTTTTTTTTGGTACTGAGGATCGAACTTGGGACCTTGTGCTTGTGAGGCTGGCGGCGAAACCACTAAGCTAAATCCCAGCCCCAGATTCATGACTTTTCTGAGGCAAACTTTCTGGAGTATAGGTTGGAGACAACTCTAGGGACCACTCCTAGACTTCCCTGACATCTGCCACCAGCTAACACGTGACACCACACTGCTGGCCAGACACTTCAAGTCCTAAATCTTCCTAGGATACTCTGATGCCAGTGATGGTCCACAGCATCTTGGGAACCTGATTCAGCTGGATCTGAGAATAAGCCCAGCTGGCAGAAGCCTGACTGGGGAGCAGATCGGCCAGAAGCAATGTGAGCAGGGAGGGGGGAAACTGGGGCTGACCTGTTCCAGGTATGTAAGGAGGGCATCTTTGTTGTTCTCCCACTCCTGGGGCAGCTCACTCTCATGAGGGAACTTGTCACAGGACAGCTCCACAGTGACCTCAAAGCAGTTAGTATGCAGATAACTGAAGTCATTCATGCCTGTGGGGACCACAGACACTGGAGCTCCAGAAGGCACGGCGGGAGCCTGCCCCGCTAGAGCCCTGCCCTGGGAGACACTTAAGGGTGGGAATTGCAGTGAGCACTGCAGGGAACAACAGACTATCTATTGGGGCTATTTATAAGGACAGGGAGAACTGCACCCCAGGGACATACTCCCAGGGACTGTGTGCCAGTCGGCCCCGTTGATGATGTTGTTATGCAAGGAGAAGTCCTGGCTGTGGCAGGGCCGGCGATCTGGGTCTTGCATCGCCCGATTAGTGCCAGCGTAGACTGTGCTGAGCCACCGGAAGACTGCATCATCTGGTGTAGGCGTGAGTTCGCGAGCAGCCCACGGGGTCCGAGTCATGTCGTACGGGTAAGACACCACCAGCTCACCCCCATGAAGGTTGGCACTCAGCACAAAGGGGATTCGCTTCATCCAATTGATCACTGCCCACGTTTCAGGAGCCACCTGGAGAGAGAAAGGTAGAGGGGAGGAGCACAGAGACAGGGGTCCCCTGGGTAGCTCTCCACCACCACCCCCAGAACACTCACAGTTGCATTGGGCAGGGTGTAATAAGTAGGCAGTGGCAGGTGATGGTTGGGGACTGTATGGGGCACTAGCCCATCGTCCTCTGCATCCCACAGTGGTGTGTTGAGATCAGCAAAATTGTGGTTAAGGTCAATGCTCTGGTGGGTCCAGCGACCCTCTGCCCAGCCCACCAGCTCTGAGCCCTGCCGAGAGAAGCTTGTTCAAGCCAAGTAGCTCCAGACATCAGAGCAGAAGGGGCAGGGCAGCCCTCATGCCGAGTAGCCTACCCGGCGATAGGCAATCTCATAGCCATCAGGGTTCATGGAGGGCAACAGGTGGATGCGCATCTCATTGAGCAGCCGGGTCACTCGTGGGTCCCCTCTCAGGTACTCCCGGCACAAGAACTGCATCAGGAGCAGAACCAACTCGCGCCCCAGGGCCTCATTCCCATGCATGCCAGCCACATAACGTAGCTCGGGCTCCCCTGGGAACACACAGTGTTCATGGCTGGCTCACAGCTATGGCCTGCCCCGTGCCCACCTCTCCCTATGCCATCTGCCAGTACCCAGCTCATGCTCCCCAGGAAGGTCAGACATTTCCATCACGTATAGTTTCAGGCCCTGGTAGCTCTTCCCAATGCTGTAGATTCGGGTGATGTTGGGACACTGCTCATTCACCTGCTTCATCAGCTGGGGGACCAGAAGGAGAAGAGGAGCATGACATAAAGTATGAGGATCACATCCCAGGGTCAGACCAAATGAGGCTATGCAAGGACTCACAAAGTGAGTGTGAGGCATGAGTGGTGACCTACAGAAATGGAAGGATCATGGCATCATCCAAGAGGGCAACAGCAAGTTCAGAAGGAAGGAGAGGAACAGGGAGGTGCCATGACAAGAGCAAGTGAGGCAGAGCTTAGGAGTCAACAGGAGAGAAGCAGGAAACAGGAGACAGGAAGTGGGGGACATGCGCACAATCACAGAAGGTTATACCCTCTTTCCTGGATCACTGGGGTTATATCTGACCTTCCTCATGGCCTTGTAATTGTGATGCCGGAAGTCCAGAGGGTCAGAGGACCCTGGTGCCTGGGCCTCAGGGAGTAGGTCATTAGGATCTAGTGGAGGGTGAGTTCATAGTAAAGGTAAGCTCACAGTGGAAGAAGCACCCTGCATCCTGACCTTGCCCATCCAGCCTTTGCCCACTGCGCACCTGAGACAGAGCAGCCCAGGATCTCTGCTCGGAGGCAAGGTGAGCCTTCCTGGAGCCAGGTCTGGGGCAGCAGACGAATGAAGCGGGCTACCTGGGGCTCCGGCAGGAGGTTCAGCACTGGGGTTTCTGGGTCAGAATTGGCAGGAAATACCTGGGAGCATCAAATTCTTTGCTAAGGCTACTTGAACCTCAGCCTAGCTCAGGAACCAGGAAAGGAACTCAGGCTAGCACAGGGCTAACCTTGCCCGGTGGGCTCAGCTAAACCTGTATTGTACTCTGCATCAAACACAAACTCCTTGCCCACAGCCCCTGCCCATGGGCAGCCCTAGGCAGCTATGTTTTCTGGCTTGGTCAAACTCATTAGACAACATGGTCATGTGAATTAGGAAAAGCCTATCCTAAAGTTGGCCAGGACCCATATTACAGCCTGGTGTTAGAGGTCCTGAGATAGAGAAGCCAAAACCATGAGCAGGTGAGAAGTGCCTCAAGCCAGAAGCCCATGGTCAGAAGGGGTATTCCAGAGGCAGCATCCATCCCATACTCGAGTTATTCTCAGAGAAACTCCAGCACAACTAGCACCATGGTGTCAAACTACCAGCACAGATGGGGCCCAGCCACAGTGGAACCACAGTGGGACTCACTCACCGCATCCATCCCACTGCTGTAATTTCGACTCCTCCACCAGTTCTGACTGTCATTGCTGAACTGGACCTTGTATGATGTGACCCAGTCATATCTAGCAGGAAAGGTGAGATCATCAGTGCCCCCCCCAACCCTACTGTAGCTCTCCTGTTTCCACCCACAACTTCCTGGCCCAGGGCTAGCCTGCCTCACCTCCAGACAGAGTTCCTGCCCTGTGTGACAATGCCTGAGAAGCGGGTAGGTTTCCTAGCGTCCACCTGAAGCCACGGCTCAGTGTCCTGCTGCTCGGCACACCAGGCCCCATCATACAGATCACCATCCTCCAGGCCTGACTGTGGGCACAGGGCATGGTGATCAGGCCCAGGTAGGGAGAGAGGGGAGGCTAGGACAGGGGGCAAGGGAGAAGGTCCCAGGGGCTCCTCTGCCTACCCCTTAGAGACTGAGTTCACTACCTGGATGTTGAGCCGTCCTCGGTGTGGTCCAAGACCAAAAGACTGGCTGCTGGATGCCTCAAGCTGGCTATCTGAAACTCGGAGGGATTCCAGGCCCAAAGGGGGACAGCCTGGGGTAGGGACCAAGCAGTGAGAAAGGACTAGAGAGAGGGTAGTTACAGCAGGTGAGAAGCCGAGCCCGATCTTGCTTGTGTGCTAAGCAGACAGAGGACATGCCTACACCCAGGAGGGCAAGAGCTACACCGGTATGTATCTCCAGAGCTGCAAGCCCGGGCAGGGCCCCTGCAGGAGCAGTACCTGGTTCCTGTTTCTCAAGGAGGTTGAGGGTTCCTGTTGGGCTGGTGGTCACCAAAGGCTTGGCAGTCCCTGGGGAACTGGGACTAGCCAGTTTCTTCCGCTTCTTCAGAATGACCTTTTTCTTCCTGATGACTCGAATCTGGGTATGCTGTTTTGAGGTCCCTAGGGTCCAGCGAGGGTGAGCACCGAGAGGGGGAAACATAGCATGAAACTCCAGATGGAAAGATCTGCCAGACCAGGGAGGCATGCAAGTATCAAACTGCCTTAGCTTTTAGCATCAAAGGCCTCCAATCTGGTCCCCAACCTGACTCTCCTGTCAATTCCTTGGCAACTTACAGAGATGGCCACCAGCCACACCTCTGACCCTTGGACCCAGCGACGAGCTATATTCAGCCTCTGGAAACTGGTCATTCCCAAGAGTGAGTTGGTTCGCGATCATATAATACCATTCACTACCTGATTGGATTCCACTCAAAGAGCCTCGCTGAGCTCCAGACTAAATCTCATGCCCTAGAATCCCTGTGCCGCCTCCATTGGTTGCATCTGCCCTGTGGGCTGAGATGTCTGGCCCTCAAATCCATGTTTGGCCTGGACACTGAGGCTTTCTGGGCTACCACCACTCATTCTCCCACATAGAACCTTGCCAGTGAGGCCAGATCCCCTCACATCCACACTCTACTGCTGCCTGCAGAACATTGTGCATTTTGGTGTTTGGTGACCCTGTGCCATTGCATTATACTGTTCCTTTCCTGGCTGCCCTTTCTCTTCAGCCTGTCTTGACTCAGCTCACCTCCCTAGAATCCCTGACTGCCATCCCCTTGCCTTTCTCTTCTAGCTTCCCACATGTGAGAAAAGAGGGGTCAGACAGCCTGCCTCTCCCCTTTCTGGAACCATCTCCCCTGCTAGTGGCACCCTCAGCAAAGAGCCTCTCTCCCTTTTGTTCTTTCCTTCCAACGCTTGCTCTTAAACTACACAGGCATGCTCTGCACCCCTTCCTCTGGGGGCTGCACTGCTTTCTCCCCTCCCGCAGGCTCTGGCCTCAGTTTCTTCATCTTTGAAAAGGGAAGGATTGGGGGTGGAGGAGCCAGCATCTCTCTGGCAACTATCCAGGGACTGCTGACTGGGTCTGGCTGGGACGGGGCTGCTGAGTCAGCAACTGTTGCGCAGGGCAGGAGTTCGTGTGTTTGTGTGTGTGTGTGCGCGCGTGAGTGCTGGGGAGGGGGCGCCGGAGGAGTGGGGGCGGGAACTCACCGTTCGCCTTCGCTGGCGGCAGTGCAGGGCTACTACGCAGGGCCAGGATCGAGCCCAAGGGTTCGGTGGTCGCGGGCAGCTCCAGGTCCAGCACCGAGGCGCTGGGCGCCCCCAGACCCAGACCGACGACAGGCGCAAAAGCG